TTTTTTTTTTTTTTTTTTTTTGTGGAGTAACGTAATTTGTGATTGTTTAATTAATTTCTATCATTATTAATTTAAAATATATTTAAAAAAAAACTTATACAAAATAATTCGATAATTTAATTATTGTTTATGATTTTAGCGTAATTTTTGTTGTTGGGTGATAAATAATTAAATACATTATTGAAAAGTCGATTGTGATAATTGTGATTTTTTTGGGACACGATTCTACGTGCAATACTTCATTGCTTCGTCAAAATTGACGAAGTTAAGTTGAATGCATTGAAAATATGCTTTTGTTTGTTAAAATTCAAAAAAAGCTCAATCAAGTGGAAATTAACCTTACAAAGACTATGCATAAATTAATGTCAAATGATATTGTGATACACATGACTTATAAGCAAAATGACAAAAGTTTATTCATGGTTTTATTTTTTTCTTTAACATAACATCTATCTATACTTATACTATAAGCAAACATATTTACTAATTTCAGTATGTAAAATAGTCAACAATAATTAATGACTTTCTAATCTTATCAAGTGCATTAATTACGTGTATTTTGTTTTCAACTAGTATGGAACTCGTGCGATGCACGGGCTGTATTTATTTTGGATAATATTAAAAATTAAAATGTATTAATAAATAAAAAGTGATAATTCGTTTGGAAATTGTGAAACCATAAATTGTTCCTCATGCAAAAAATATATTATTTAAAACTTTCTTTTACACAACATTATTTGTTTAATAACTGAGCAACTCGTGTCCCCACAAATTAATATCTTCAACCTTTTTCTATTACTTACACATGAAACAAACAACATAAATGTCTGTGACTAAAAAATATTTTCTGTAAGAACATGCCAACGTACAATAAAGGTTGACCTTAACTTTTCTTTATCTATTACTTACACGTGTAACAATAACATACAATTGGTCGTGATCAAAAACAGATATTTTTAAGAACATGTCATTAATGCACAACTCTTATCTAATACTTACACAACAACAACATATAATTGATCGTGGCTAAGAACCGATTTCTTTAATATTATGCCAACGCACATAAAGGTTGATCCTGATCTTAAATGGAACCCAAAGATTAGAAGTAACTGGTGCTCTGGAACTTAAATGGAATTCTAAGATTGATCTTTTTATAATATGATAATTTACTTACGCAGTCAGACAAATGAGTTGTTGTTTTAAAGGATGCTTGGATACAAATCTATCCAAAAGAATCTAATCATATTTAACGCAACCCCACTACCATCAATATTATCAATATAACTAAATAATATCAATCAATCATTCTTACACACCACATCAACTTTAATTTACTATTCATCAACTCGCATAATTTTAACTAACAATCACTTCAAATCATCTCTCTCCTACTTTCAAACCAAATCACCTTTAATTCTTTTATTTTAAATATTATTTCAATATACCAACTATCAACTAACCACATCACTTTTTTAAAATTAACCAAACCAAACCAAAAAATACAAACAAATCCAAAAAATTTTATATCCAAGCATATCATTTTAACATCGATTATACTTTACTAGTTAAATAATATTTACTAATATTTCTATATTTTTTTACACAAAAAGACTGACCTTGACTGTTAAATAAAATTCCAAAATCAGAAGGAACTGGTGCCGCTGGAACTTAAAAAGAAGTCTATAATCGATATATTTATAATATGATAATTTATACGGCAGTTGGACAAATGAGTTGTTAGTTTATCATTTTAATATCGATTATACTTGATTAGCTAAATAATATTCACTAAAATTCTTATAGTTTTTTATGTTGTTTAAAAGAACCTTAAACATGTATGGCTAAAATATTAAAAACACTAAAATGTTATACAACATGTGTAAGATTATTTAAAATATTCTATATTATTCCTAAAAAATGCGAGGTCACCTTTCTAAGTTATTTTATAAGTAAAACATGTCTTAAAAAAATTCAACACCCATACATATATACACAACATGTTTAAAATATACAAAATACTACATGTGAATAATATGTATTAAAGTCTAAAAAATATTAGTAATTATATCTATAAAAATATGTATGAATAATACAAAACATTAAACATTACATCACGCTAATTTTATGAGAGATATTATATATAGTAGATATAAAATATAAAAACATTAGTGGTTAGACATTATTTCACGCTAAATTTTTAAGCCGAACAATTTTTATTGAATGTGTGAGAACTTTTTATATATATTTTCAAGCTGAACAACTTTTAGTTGGATAACTTTCCTATTATATGTGTGACAATTTTTTA